AGAGACTCCAGAATCATGAGTATTGTTATGAGTTTTGTGTGGCCACTGTAATGAATTATTGAATCGAGATGTGAAGCAGAGAGTGCTGTGTGATGGACAGTTGGTGTCAAGGTAAAGAAAGTTGTAAGGTAGAAGCATGTCTAAACTCCGCTTCATGGGAATTGGCCTTGAGTTGATTTTGAATTTGATTCTCTTTCCCTCTTTGAAGCCAGAGAGTCAGACATGGTCTCCACATGGTTTTTGCAGTGATACTGTCGTGTATGTAAATCTCAGGTTGTTGAATGCTGCTGTTGATTCTCTGTCCAAAGAATTCACCTTACTATTTGTTACAAGCTTGACCTGATTTTTACAAATTCTTTTAATTTCTATTTATCTAGAAATGTCTCAATTTTGCCTTTGTATTTGATGTACAGTTTTTCTAGGTATGATTCGTTGTTAGCAATTTTCTTCTTTCAGTTTTATATATGTCATCCCAGCATCTTCTTGCTTGCATGGTTTTGGCTAAGTTTATTCTTATTAGCTCTCCTTTGCAGGTAACTTCCACACATCCCCAACCCCACCCCTGCTCCTCCTCCTGAATCTGCTGTCAAGACTTTTTTCTTGTCTTTGGTTTTGGAAAAGTTTGATTATGTCTTGGTAATTTTCTTTTGGAGCCTATCCTGTATGAAGTTTATTCAACTTCTAGAATGTACATCTTCTTGTCTTTCATGTTAGGCAAGTTTTCTCCCAGCAACTTTTGGACAATTTTCTTTATGGCTTTGTCCCTTCTTGTTCTGGAATTCCAATCACATGTTATTCCGCTTGATAGTGTCCCACATAGATCTTAGGTTTTATTTGCTTTTTTTTTAAAATTAATTTTTCTGATTATTTCTCTTGAAGGTGAGTATTAAGAAATCTATCTTCAAGCTCACTGATTCGGCCTTCCATCAATTAAATTCTACTTCTTTGCTCTTCCAATGTATCATTTATTTCCGAAGTCTTAGTATTAGTCTGGCTTTCTATATGCCGTTTTTGTATGGTTTCCAATTTTTCATTCATTTTGTCAGTTTGTTTCCTAAATTCTATCAAAGTTTTGTTTTTTCCTTGATTTCATCTGTAGTTTTATCAATCCTTTGAAGTAAACTAAATACCATTTAAAAAAATTCCTTTATCAAAGTAGATCTGATACCATTTCTGGTATTATATTTTCTGACTCTGTCTTGTTTCTTTGTGTAAGCTGAAGTGGTGTTTTCTCTGAGACACTGTGGTGTCCTATTTATAGTTAATTGATGATTATGTTGATGAATTCTCACTTTGTACACATCTCCTGGTGAACGTGATAGAGACTGGAAGTATAAATGCAATTCTCTGTGTAGTGCAGTTCACAGTAGGTTCACGCACATCTAGAAGCATGGGTAGTATGCATGGCACCCAACCCCAGGGCTGATGAAAGAGAGACGTGGCCATGCCCCTGAAAACCAAGAGGGCATGGGACATGGGAGAACTGCACACTCTTGCTGCCAACCACCCGCCTCATCCTGTGCCTGTAGGTACTATATTTACAGTTACTTGTAAAAGTACAAAACAGCTATGTTGCTTCAGGCCAGCCTATAGTCTGCCTGTTTTTCTTCTGTCAGAAGCATCCATTGTTGTGCATAATGTTTAATTTTCTTTCAAAACTATTACCATGAAGTGTGACATGGCTTCCAAATGCAGCAAAAACAAACAAAAAAACATGCTAGCATTAACAGCAGCAAGAGGAAAAGTAGAACAATTTGGAAGTGACACAAAAGGTTAAAAACAAAATCAGTGAATGCTACTGTTTGTGATTTAGGAATATCACACTCAACAATCATAATGATGCTCAAAACAAAACAAAACAAAAATTCCATTGGCTCCACTGGAAGCTATGAGGTTAAAAAAAATGCTAGAGTTATACCTGTATCAGATATGGAGAAACTGCTAATGACAGTGACCGAGGACAAAACATCAAACATGAATCCCTTCCAACACTTTGAAATCTCTGTTAAGACACAAAGCTTCTTCAAGACATTTAAAGAAAAAGCAGGACCAAACTATGATATGGTGTTCCCACAATGTCTAAATCATATAATGTCCTTTCTCTGAATGTATCATGGATGTGAAGTGATACATGACTTTATATTATTTTACAATCTGTTATTTACTTATTCAAGTAAAAAATTTTTTTCAGATTATATAATTAGAGTGGCTTTACACTTTAATCAATTACCCACTAAGAAACATAAAGGCTTATTTGCAATTTTTCATTATTAAGCCAATGCTGTGATCAACATTACATGCACGCTTAATACTACTGTTTCTTTCCAACTACTTCTTTAATGTCTTTCACATAAATAATAAGTTAAAGACCATATAATACACACAGAATTTGATATACAATCAGGATTAAATAATACAACCAATTTACTATCAAAAGGGTTAAACAATTTGGATTCCCACTAAAGAAATTATTTTCTTTGTTCCCTTACCCTCATTGACATTAGGTGTCAAATTTTAAAAATCTTTTAACTATCTGATAGATGAACAGATGTCTTATTTGAAATACACTAAAAGCTACTTGCCATTGAGTAGATTCCTATGCATAGACATCACATGTGTATCAAAGAACATGCTCCATAAGGTTTTCAATGGCTGGTTTTTCAGAGGTAGATTGGCAGTTCTTTCTTTCAAGGTACCTCTGGATGGATCTGAAGTGCCAACCTTTATTTTTAAAACCAAGATCCGTAGCAAGAAACATTTTACATTACTCCAGGTATCCCCGTATATCTGTAGGCATGTGTGACATTTACATAAATTTGGACTGGGAATCACAAGATTCATGGTTCAAGCCCACTAGCTGCTATGTGGAAGAAATATGAGGCTTCCTACTCCCTCGAAGATTTAAAGCCTAGTTAACCCTATAAAGGCTCGCAATGAGTTGGAACTGACTCGACAGCTCTAGCAACAACAACACATATATACATGTTGTTGTTGAGTGCCGTTAAATCAGTTCTGACCCATAGCGACCCTCTAGTGGGTTTCTGAAGAACAACTGGTGAGCTTGAATCACCGATCTTGCAGTTCAAAGTGACACTGCAGTCTAGCACATTAACTCGCAGCACCACATATACAGATACTATACTTGCAATCAAAGTTTCATGAAACAATACCTTTGTTACATCTGATGAACTCCAATACATTCTAACTGATTTACTTTTAAAAGTTGAAGTTCTTGATTCCCTATACTCATGACCCACTCACAGCCTGAAGTTTGTGTTTGAAATATACTATTCTAGGAAACTTACAAAATGAATACTTATTAAATGGCCTATTCATTTATTTAAAACACTTCAAAAAACGTCTTCTAAAAAGGAAGCTTTTACTGTTTTACAAAGAATAGAAAGAATTTGTCATATGAGAAAAGCAGCATGTATCATTAACAAGTGCCAATATGTTTCAGCAACTTATTCAGAGAAAAATGATAGAACATTGATTTTAACAGCTTTGACTAATTCCTACCTCTGACTTGGTACAATTCAAATTTTATTAAACTTTGCACCATGAACGTTATACAAACTTATTTTTAAAAAGCTGTAATTAAGAGTGATCTGATTAATATGAGTTTTACATAGTTTACAGTAGCTAGTGTGAAGGAGCTCTGGTAGCGTAGTGGTTGAATTGGGCTGCTAATCTCAAGGTCAGCAGTTCGAAATTACCAGCGGTTCCACTGGAGAAAGATGAGGCTTTCTGCTCCTGTAAAGATTACTGCCTTGGAAAATCGACTTCATAGCACACCATCATGTGTGGTGTGATCCAGACCTGCTGTCAGATGCCCTCGCCCTCTGCTGGTTAGATATATTACTTAAGATACAAATATTACTTTTGTGCAATGGTTCAATCCTCTTGGCTGTCTGCTCCCATAAAGATTTCGTCTCAGAAACCTTATATAGGGTTGCTATGAGTCAGAATCGACTTGATGGCAGTGGATTTGGTTTTGGCCTACTCCCAAGACCTTTTGTTTGCTCCCATTCCAGCCAACCATGGTGGATGAATAGTTATGGTAACCTTTAAGGTACTATGGAGAGTTGTGCTGATCAGAATTAGAAGATACAGTAAACCTTAATGATACAAGTAGGGTTCAGATAATTCAGGTGCATAGAATGCAAGGTTATGATGTAAGTGGATTCCAACCCACAGTGGCCCTATGGGACAGAGAACTGCCACAGAGTTTCCTAGGCTATGATCTTTATGGGAGCAGATCGCCAGGTCTTTTCTCCAGTGGAGCAACTGGTAGGTTTAAACCATAGACCTTTTGCTCAGCAGCTAAACACTTAATCATTGTGTCACCATGGTTATTAAAGGTTGCATTACTGAAATAAAAATCAATCCTCAGTCACATCATAAATGAATTTATGTGGTTTCACTATGTTGCACTTAAACGCACAATCTCCAATAAGGAGCCACAGAGGGTATGTAGAAACAATTAAAGAGACTCTCAAAAGATGTGCAAAATGTGAAGGAAAAGATGATCAGAGTGCCCTGGACAGTACTTTCCAGCTTGGGTATAAGTAGACTTCTTGATTTTGATGATACTGACATGAAATACAACAGCAGTCAAGGTCTCACGGGCTGACAACATCCATTGAATTAGGATTAGAATCAAGCAAGGGCAAGAGGTTGTCCGAATCTTAGTCAACTTCCTCATGAGTCAGCAGGTATCTCTCACTCCAGTTTATCAATGAGTTAAGTTTACCTCAAGAATTGTTAAACAAATGAAATTATATCTTGATTACAAAATGAAAATAAGCAGAACTGTCAAAAGAAATTTACACAACAAATAAAGAAGCTGAAGATTTTTCTCCCCAAAGAAATGTGTCACCAAGGGAACTTGCATGATAAAATGTGTTATCTTCTTCACTCTTGAGCTGCTGTCTTCTAGGTTTTAAAAGTTAAAAAAAATTCATCAGAATGAAAATGATGTGTGGCTGCTCCCCTCCTGTTCATTCTGAAGACTGAGTTGGGCTACATTGTGCTGGAGACTTCAAGTGCTGCTGGTAAGTATCCACCAGGGGTTTGTGTGTCAGGTACATGGGTTGGTAAGAAGATACAAACGTTGCAGGCTGAAGCTCTGGGTGGTCCAAGGATTATGAAGGGGAAAAAAAAAATTCTTAAATTCCACTGTTCTCTGGGAATGTCTAAGCAGACTGTTTTGATCAGGCACATACATGTTCTTTCAATTCCTTAACATCTCTTCATATGTCAGCCCAATTTCACCTTTGTTTGGTTAAGACAGACAGATACTTTTTAAAATGAAAAAAATTATGGCTGGAACAGGTTAAGTGACTTGCCTCAGGTTATATGGTACATTAGGCAAAGAATGAGAAATTTAACATTATTTCCTTATTTCTAGCCCAGAGTTCTCCCTATTTGACCCCAATGCATGATACCCTGTTCTGTTCAGCCATTTGTTAAAGGGATTTCATGGGAAATAGGCAGGGCCTATAGCAAAATATAGGCAGAACCAAACAAAACCTGATTGCTTTTACTTTACCTCAAAGTCCCTGCACAGTAAACTTTCCTCTGGAGTTCTGCTTTGGTCTTAGGTGAAACCCTAATTTCTCAGTGTATCCTACCTTGCTGTGATCCTAGGCATTTCCTGTGGCTTCTGAGAGTGATGGAAATCTATGCAGGGCAGCAGATCCTCTTCTAACTTGGGACTCACCATGATGTGATAACTCTATGAATGGTTATCACATATAGCCCAGATATTGTGGGTATTTAGCTAAGAATGAAGAGGAGAGGGTAGCCTAAAAATGATCAACTAATTGTCGAATCAGAAAATTAAAAGATACCTGGCAAAATGGGATCATTCTGATCCTCATCAAAGGTCTGTCTCTGAAAGGCTTCAAAGCTCATAGCAGCATCATTCTCTGGCAGTCCTGGGGGTAACTGTCCATCTCCAGGTTTACACACATCAAATTTCACCCACTGGTAACTGCAGAATCAAACAGAAACAGTCTTGTAGAAACACATCAAATTTCACCCACTGGTAACTGCAGAATCAAACAGAAACAGTGTGCTAGTCGTAAGAACACATCCCAACCTTCACAGGGACTACGTATGTTTCTGTTTGTATCTCTCCTATATACATCTTAAAACATTAACAAAAAATCTAAAAGAACAGGCAGGCCTCTTTGTTGTTGTTGTTGTTGTTGTGATGTGCCGTGGAGTCAGTTCTGATGCGTAGCGATCCTATATATGGTTTCGGAGACTGTAAAACTTTACGGGAGCAGAAAGCCTCATCTTTCTCCTGCAGAACAGCTGGTAGTTTCAAACTGCTGACCGTGAGGTTCGCAGCCTGATTTGTAACCACTACACTACCAGAGCTCCTGTATATTAACAAAAAATCTAAAAGAGCAGGCAGGTCTCTTTAGTGACATGTTATTCTGTAGGGTTTTCCAGCCTTCCTGCTGTCATGTTATATGCAGAAAATGGAAAGACATAGTTCAGATATTGGCTTCTGCTTACCTGTTTAGAAGGCAAGAAGCAAGCAGCCTTGCATACAGAAAATGCTCAATAAATGTACAAACAAAGCAGTTACTCCTAGTTTAAATCAGTTGATCACTGAGCTTCTCTAAAGGGGCTAAATTTGACCACACTTACTTGACACATTTTCGAGCTCCTGGACAACTCTGGATCAGATTGTGAATGGTTGGATGACAAAATCCAAAGAAATCAGCTCCAGATGGAAGCAGGTTTGGAATTAACTTCCCCCTACATAGGAAAGGGAGAATTTTAGTGTGGGAGATTGAGAGGAGAGGAGAATGGATATATAAAACCCTTTCTGACTTTGATACTCTGGAAATTCTAATTGCTAAGACAATAGGTTTCTATAAAATAAAGAATCTCTGCTCATTAAAGATTTCCGTGTACCAAAAGTAAATGTTTTGGCCTGTCTTCAACATGCTGGCTAACTTACATAGAAGCACTTATGGTCTTGAGCAGTTCTGCATGACAAGCATCTGCAGAAGAGCGGACAATGGCATTCTGGGGATCATCTTCAGGAACAATTTCAAACTGGGAAAGATAAAGGAGCAATTAGATCAATCCTCAAGGAAGATGAAGTAGAAAGCCATATTACTAGATACTATTTCTTTGCTCTGGAACTTGAAGCTGATGATTTTCATATAGTAGAGTAAAAAAATTTAAACAAATCCAAGTAAAAAGTGATTGCACTTTAACTGTTTCAATTCCAAACTCCTTGGCAGAATGCTTTCCAGACATCCACACCTCATTTATTATGTACCTTTTGTAGGTAACTTAAATCTATATATGCAAATGGTATTTACACAAATGAAAAACGAGAAGATATATGCACACCAATGTTCATAGCAGCACTATTTACAACAGCAAAAAGATGGAGACAGCCAAAGTGCCCATCAACTGAAGAATGGATAAACAAACTGTGGTACATATACACAATGGAATATTATGCTACCTTGAAAAATAACAAGGAAGCTGCAAGCCACTGCATAACATGGATGAACCTTGTGGACATTATGTTGAGTGAAATTAGTCAGTCACAAAAGGAAAAATACTGCATATTTTTTTACACTACTGTAAAAGACTAAGAAAAAGAACCCATACTAATCCACTAAAGTGGATTCTTTGCTGGTTGATGGGATATAGGGGTAGGGTTAGGGGAGGGAGGGGAAGGTGAAGCACAGGGCAGGGAACAGACACAGGATAGTTAGGGTGCTGGGGAGGGGGGCAATATACAAGAAGAGAGAGGGGAACGGAAGAACAAAACAGATGGGAGAACAAGTAGGCAGGTTTGAATGGGCTAAATGGGACAGAGGTAAATAATGATGTATGCACACCTTGGAATAACAGGACTCTGGGATACAGACATTGAGACATGGTTGGAATGGGGAAGAAGGGTGAATAATATTAAGATGCTTGGCTGTCTTTTGAATCTCGGTTTTCCATGCAATATAATATAAAATAGACACTGGAGGGGGAGAGAAAGGAATAGCCAGAAACATCACCACAGAAAGCTTGTAAATCCATCTTCTGCCTGTAATACTGATTGGAATACCTAAAGTGGGGCTACAACGTGCCCACTGAAGGAGGCTTCCTGAGGAGCCTCTGCATTACATAAGACTATAGGTGGAAGCCTGAACCACATCCAGATCTACAGAGATGGGAAATTTCCACTTGAAAGGATGAGCAGACCAACCTGGAGCAGCTAGAAAAACAGAAGATAGTTCTGAAAGAAAGAACTATAGGAAAAATACAAAACAACATAGGCAGACCAACTGTTACTACAACAACAAGCAAGTTGCTTGCCCAGGAGACATCATGGCAAGTGGTAGGGTCCCCTCAGTGCAAACCCCCTTCCAAGACTAAGACTCAATGGGAATACACGCTCAGATTGGTGACCACGCTCGTCACCGATAAGGGGAAGTGAGGGAAAAATAGCAATGAAGTGGCGCGCTAAGCCCTACGTCGTTCAATAGATTCCTGTGAACCCGGGTGGAGACCTGGGCAGCCAGCAGTGTGGCAAAACCTGGGGACTCTTGGGCCCAGAGTCAGTGACACAGCCACAGAGGACTAGAGTGGAGAGTGAAGCATCCAGCTGATGAGAAGAGAGTGGATAGTCTCAAGAACACCCACACTTGCAGATAATACCCACTTGAACTGGCTTCAAGGACTGGATGATCAGAGCTCAACCTGAAGACGAAAGAAGCCAAAAAAGCGTAATCTGATGCAATTCGATGAACTTGAACTACACCTATGGATGCAGTAGCTCAAAAGAGGAAACAAATTCCTACTGCAAGACTCATTCCCACCCCCTCCACACACAGAGTAGACAGAGAGAGGCAACTTGGACACTGGCTACCCAAAATGGGGGTGGGGGGCACAAAGGCAAGAAGTGACTGGTTTACAAGCTTTCAGGAGGGAACCTAGATCCAGAGGGCGTGGAGGAAAGTAGAATCTCCAGTGAGTAGTATCCAATCTGTCTAGGCAGGGCTGATGAAATGAAATGCAGATGGGTCTCTAGCAATCCAACAGGGAATAATTGTTAACAGGACTGATTGTGAGGGTTGAAAATGTAAAGGTGGACATATTATATAGCAAGCAGGGGAGTGAATAACTTTTCAGTGTAAGAGCGGATGGCCCTGGGACCAACAATAGACAAGAGTGGAGAGCGGGACCCTACCTAGAGAAGCAGTGATGCCTGAGATGGAGGCAGAGACGACGACATGGAGAGATGGAGCAGCTGCGGACCTGAGATCCAGAGAGGGAGAGAGGCTGTGTGCTGATGACCAGGGGTGGGCAGGCTTGCAGGGTATACCCTTTGGTTGGTTGATGATGCATCAACGGGATTGTAACCATGGCAATGAAACGATATACAATAGAATGAATGTAAAACCAATGTTCTCCCATGTAAACTAGCACGTAATTCACAATAAAACATTTATAAAAAAAAAGATAGCATTCTATGTGACAAGGTAACAATAAATCAATAAACTTCCTCAAACATTAAGAAAAAAAAAAAAAAAAGTAAACTTAAACTGAGGAATTTTTGCCAAGAAACTATT